GAAAAATCACCAATCTCGTCCTACTGGTGCCGCCCCATTCCCAGAAGCGAATGCGGCGACGTTCACCCAATATCCTTATGGGCAAATACATGGACGTGGACATGGACGAGGACGTGGGCGTGGTCATGCTCGAGGCCGTGGCCGTGGCCGAGATCTTGGTCGTGGTAATGGCCGTGGTGAAAGTTCCAAAGGCTCATTTTTCCCCAGAAGTGGAAAAAATGATGGTAGAAGAAGCAAGGAACAAAGTGTTCATGGTAACAAACACGTCGAAAATGTGTGTTACCGTTGTGGTGGAAAAGGTCATTGGTCTCGTACCTGTCGTACGCCAAAACACTTGGTTAACCTCTACCAAGAATCATTGAAAGGGAAGAAGATAGAAACCAATTGTATTTTTGAGGAAGATGATTCAGGAAAAGACTATAATGATGCTACTCATCTAGATGTGTCAGACTTCTTTGCCCACCCAGAAGGAAAAATAGATCACCTGATTGGTGATGGAAATGTTCGCAAGTGAAAAACTTAGCATTTTCATTTGAAATTTCTATTTCGTTGTCGCTTTGTTCACAAGTGAAAAATGTAGGTTTCCCATTTGAAATTTCACTTTCTTTGTCGTTTTCCTTGAGTGTGTTTTTCCTATTAATTTGTCAGTTTAATATAATTTCTCTTTATAATCCTTATGTGGTTAAATTTCATCTATTATAATCATGTCATTATTTTTATATTTATTTGGAGATATTTTCTTATATTGATTTACTTTCTATCTTTTGTGAAGAATGAATATTCCCATGCTTGGCACCAAGATCAAAAACCATGATGTGTGTCTTATTGATAGTGCATCGACACATACAATCTTGAAGGATAAGAAATATTTTTCTCATCTTGAAATGCGAGAAGCAAATGTTAGTACTATATCTGGAAGTACAAATCTAATTGAAGGCTCCGGAAGAGCTAGTGTATTGTTACCAGAAGGAACCAAGTTGTATATCAATGAAGCCTTATACTCTTCAAAGTCTCAAAGAAATTTATTGAGTTACAAAGATATTCGCCGAAATGGATATCATATTGAGACAAAGGAAGAAGAGAATAAAGAGTATATTATGATAACAAATATGGTCTCCGATAAAAAATACATATTGGAGAAATTGCCTGCTATTTCTTCTGGGTTGTACTACACGTTTATTAGTACAATTGAAACACATGCAGTGGTAAACCAGAAGTTTACAAATCTTGATAATTTTATAGTTTGGCATGAGCGGTTAGGCCATCCCGGATTGATTATGATGCGGAAAATCATTGCCAATACATGTGGACATCCAATGAAAGGTCACAAAATTTATCAGTTTAAAGATGTACCATGTGTTGCATGTTCTCGTGGCAAGTTGATTATACGGCCATCACCTGTGAAACTAAGGAGTGAATCTCTCACATTTTTAGAACGTATACAGGGTGATATATGCGGGCCAATTCACCCACCATGTGGACCATTTAGATATTTTATGGTTTTAGTTGATGCATCAACTAGATGGTCACATGTGTGCTTACTATCAACTCGCAACCTGGCGTTTGCTAGATTACTTGCCCAATTGATACGACTACGAGCACATTTTCCTGATTTTCCAATCAAGAAAATACGTCTAGATAATGCTGGTGAATTTACTTCACAAACTTTCAATGACTATTGTATGTCCACTGGGATTGATGTTGAACATCCTGTAGCACATGTTCATACACAAAATGGCCTTGCAGAATCATTCATTAAGCGTTTGCAACTTATTGCAAGACCATTGCTTATGAAAACAAGCTTGCCAATTTCTTGTTGGGGACATGCTATATTGCATGCGGCAACATTAATTCGCATAAGGCCAACAAGTTATCATGAAATTTCCCCCTTGCAAATGGTTTTTGGTCAGGAACCTAATATTTCCCATCTAAAAATATTTGGGTGTGCCGTCTACATCCCTATTGCTCCACCACAGCGTGTTAAGATGGGTCCTCAAAGGAGGTTGGGAATTTATGTTGGATATGAGTCTCCGTCAATCATAAAATACTTAGAACCCTTGACGGGAGATTTATTCACTGCTCGTTTTGCTGATTGTCATTTTGACGAATCAGTTTTTCCAACATTAGGGGGTGAGAACAAACAGCTGGGAAAAGATATTTGTTGGAATGAATTATCATTATCTCACCTTGATCCTCGTACTAGACAATGTGAACTGGAAGTTCAAAAGATAATTCATTTACAAGGTTTAGCAAACCAACTGCCGGATTCGTTTACTGACCAGAAAAGAGTGACAAAGTCACACATTCCAGCTGTAAATGCTCCAGTGAAAGTTGATGTCCCTGTTGGACAATCTGAAATTGCAAATGAATCTAAACCACGAATGAAGCGTGGTAGACCAGTAGGTTCCAAGGATAAAAATCCTCGAAAAAGAAAAGGAGCTATGAATCAAGTTGATCAAATCGAGGATATGAAAGCTCAAGAAGAGTCCCCAAGCATAACTAAGATTGTAGTTCCCGAAGAACATCAGGTACCTGAGAGTTTTGATAATGAAGAGATCTCAATCAATTATGTCTTGGATGGAAAATGTTGGAACCGAAGTAAAATAATCGTCGACGATGTTTTTGCTTACGCTGCAGCGTTGAGTGTGATGAATGAAAATGAGGATCATGAACCAAGATCTATTGATGAATGCAAATCAAGAGATGATTGGCCAAAGTGGAAAGAGGCCATTGAGGCGGAGTTAAACTCGCTTTCAAAGCGAAAAGTTTTTGGACCGGTAGTCCTTACACCAGAAAACGTAAAGCCAGTGGGATACAAATGGGTTTTTGTGCGGAAAAGAAATGAAAAGGGTGAAGTCGTGAGATATAAAGCACGTCTTGTCGCACAAGGATTCTCACAGAGACCTGGCATTGATTATGAGGAGACATACTCCCCTGTGGTGGATGCAACTACGTTTCGATACTTGATCAGTCTAGCAGTCCGAGAAGGACTAGATCTGCGTCTAATGGATGTTGTGACAGCCTATTTGTATGGATCACTTGAGAATGATATATATATGAAACTCCCTGAAGGATTCACTTTGCCAGAAGCAAACAAAACACATTCTCGAGAAAAATTTTCTATCAAATTGAACAAATCCTTGTATGGATTGAAACAATCTGGACGAATGTGGTACAATCGTCTCAGTGAATATTTGATGAAAGAAGGATACAAGAATGACCCTATTTGTCCATGTGTTTTTCTAAAGAGATCGGGTAGTGAGTTTGTTATAATATCAGTTTATGTTGATGACATAAACATCATTGGAACTCCCGAAGAGCTTCCAAAAGCAGTTGATTGCTTGAAGAAAGAGTTTGAAATGAAAGATTTAGGAAGAACAAAGTTTTGTCTTGGATTACAGATTGAACATTTGAAGGATGGTATTTTTGTGCATGAAGAAGGATATGTTGAAAAGGTGCTTAAGAGATTTTATATGGACAAATCACACCCGTTGAGTAATCCAATGGTTGTAAGATCACTTGATGTGAAAAGAGATCCATTTAGACCTCGAGAAAGTGATGAAGATCTGCTTGGCCCTGAAGTGCCATATCTTAGTGCGATAGGAGCATTAATGTATCTAGCCAGTCATACACGACCCGATATATCGTTTGCTGTGAATATATTGGCAAGATATAGCTCTTCTCCCACTAAAAGACATTGGAATGGAGTTAAACATTTACTCCGTTACCTTCGAGGAACGACGGATATGGGCTTGTTCTATTCGAGTGCATCGAAGATGGATTTAGTGGGATATGCAGATGCAGGATATCTTTCAGATCCTCACAATGGTAGATCTCAGACAGGATATTTGTTCACTTGTGGTGGTACAGCCATTTCGTGGCGATCCACAAAACAAACTATAACAGCCACATCATCCAATCATGCTGAAATCCTAGCAATTCACGAGGCAAGTCGTGAATGTGTTTGGTTAAGATCTATAATTCGACACATCAGAGAATCGTGTGGACTATCTCTAGGAAAAATGATCCCGACGATCATGTATGAAGATAATGCAGCATGCATTGCTCAATTAAAGGAAGGATATATTAAAGGAGATAGAACAAAACATATTCCACCCAAGTTCTTTTTCACTCATGATCTTCAAAAGAGTGGTGAAATAATTGTTCAAAAAGTTCGTTCAAGTGAGAATCTAGCAGATTTATTCACCAAGTCACTCCCAACGACAATCTTTGTAAAGCTTGTTCGTGAAATTGGAGTTCGACGACTCAAAGATCTGAGCTGATGTGGTCATGAGGGGGAGCATATACGCGCTGCACTCTTTTTCCCTTAACCATGGTTTTTCCCACTGGGTTTTCCTGGTAAGGTTTTTAATGAGGCAGCATGAGATAGCGTAATAATGCAATCTAGTGGTCATCCAAGGGGGAGTATTATGTAAATATTTATATTTGGATGACCAATGGCCTACCACATTAGATGCTCACTTGGGAGTTACATGTAACTCCCATTCCTATATTATTATCTCTAATTCATATGCATTGATGTAATGGTTACCAAAGGGTGCCTATAAATAGAGCACACTATTGTATCACAAATGGAGTATGAATAAGAAGAACTATTCCCCTCACTTCTCTTATGTCTTTCCTCCTCCAATCTTCTCTTATAGTTGCTTACATTTCCATTAGTTTTATAACAAATTACTGTTAGGGTAACAATTTTTACATAATTTACGGTAGGTAAGAAAAAAATTAGAAAAAGAAATAATGAAAATCCTTTAACAGAGCTGGCGAAACTCCTGGCCAAGACCGTTTCTCTCTCTTTCCATTCCTTTTTTTTCCCCCAGCTAATCCAACGGCCACGATGAGCCAGATTAAAGACCTGGATTTTGGGCCATGCAAAAGCCCAACGTGCCTCTCCTTGAGAATGCCGATCCGCCACGTGGCCCAATAACCTATCCCAGAATAAGCAGCCAAAGAAAACCTAAATTTCCTATTCATACTCGGCGAAGGTTTTACCCTAATATTCTATTTCCCTTCCGCCCCTATAAATACTCTCTTTTCTTCTCATCCTTCTCCCACATCAAAACCCTTCGCCTCTATCTCCCTGCGCCAGTTTCTGCGCCTCTCGATTCCGAAGAAGCGTTATCTTGTTCTTGCTTTCCCGCCGGTCGATTTCCTCCCTGCTCCGGTCAAAGAAATCCGCCTCGGGTTCCTCCATCCAATCTCCCGTTGATTATGTAAGTTACACATCTCCTCTGTTTTCTTTCATTCTCCATCGATATACGATTTGCGTCGCCGATTTGATTTCTTGTGTTGAGATTTTGATCGGAGATTTTTTTTAATTTTGCGCGAGCAGAGAAGCGTGAATGTTGTAATGGAGACGAAAGGTGGGAAAAAGAAGTCTAGCAGTAGTAGTAGTAATTCCTCCATCCAGTACGAAGCTCCCCTCGGATACATCATCGAAGACGTTCGACCTAACGGTGGCATCGAGAAGTTTTCTGCTGCTTACTCCAACGTACGTTCTCTTTCTCCCTGCGTTCGATTCAGATTCCGGTGTTTTCTGATTTCCGGTGTTCAATTCCGATCTGGTTCTGATTTCTGTTTGTATGAATCTGTTCTTTTTCATCTTCTGCAGTGCGTGAGGAAGCCATCCTGATATTCCCCAATCGTTTATGGCGTTTGCGGTAGAGTAGGATTTCCAATTTCAGTATCGTGTCTACTTTCAATAATTTCTCTCTCAATCTCTCAAGAACAAGCTCCCTCAAGAACAAGAAGAACGAAAGAAGAACTCTCCCTCCCTCTAGATCTCGGAATTTCTCAATCAAGCAATGGCGGTCAACACATCCCCAATCGGATTCGAAGGATTCGAGAAGCGTCTCGAGATCTGCTTCTCGGAGGCGCCGATTTTCAAGGACCCCAACGGCCTCGGCCTCCGCGCCCTGACTCGGCCCCAGATCGACTCGTTCCTCGACGCGGCCAAGTGCACGATCGTCTCGAACCTCTCCAACGACGAGTTCGACTCGTACGTCCTCTCCGAGTCTAGCCTCTTCATCTACCCGCTGAAGCTCGTCATCAAGACCTGCGGGACCACGAAGCTCCTCGCCGCTGTCGAGCCGATTCTGGATCTGGCCGGCTCGCTCTCGCTCGCCGTCCGCGACGTGCTCTACACCCGCGGCAGCTTCATCTTCCCCAGCGTCCAGCCGGCGCCGCACCGCAGCTTCTCCGAGGAAGTCGCGGCACTGAACGAATTCTTCGGCGATCTGGACCACAAGGCGTACGTGCTCGGCGGTCCCGAGCACAGCTGGCACGTCTACTCCGCCACAACCGCCGGGAAGAAGACCGATTCTCACCAAAACGACGTGATTACTCTCGAGATGTGCATGACCAGTCTCGACAAGATGAAGGCGGCGGTGTTCTACAAAGGCTCCCCGGCTGCGACAGCGCCGGAGATGACGAAACAGTCGGGGATCTCCGAGATCATCCCCGGGCACACGATCTGCGACTTCGATTTCGACCCCTGCGGCTACTCGATGAACGGGATTGAGGGTGCGGCGCACTCCACTGTCCACGTCACACCGGAGGACGGGTTCAGCTACGCCAGCTACGAGGCGATGGGGTTCGACGCGGGGGAGACGACCCTCGACGCGCTGGTGGGGCGCGTGCTGAGCTGCTTCGAGCCGCGTGACTTCTCCGTGGCCGTCACGTGCAGGAGCGCGAGGGCGCAGCTGTGGGCCATGGGGCTCGTCGACGTGGGAGGGTACTCCCGCGGCAAGGTCGCGGTGGAGGAGCTCCCCGGCGGCGGGATCGTTGTTTACAAGACCTACACTGCTGACGGCGCTAAGAGTAGCAAGGTTGTCACTCCGGCGGTGGCCGAGATTAAGAAGGCTGTGAAGGAAGTAGTGAAGGTGGTGGTGAAGAAGGCTGATGAGCTGGAGATTGACTGTGGTGTAGGGTGCGGCGGTGATGAGATGAAGGAGAAGTGGGGGCAGCAGTTCTTCGGGTTGGTGGACGGCGGCGGTGGAGGCGGCGGCGGGTTGATTTGGTGATCCGGGAGCTTGTTCTTGTTCTTGTTCTGTGTCGCGTTTTGCTTTATTTTGATATATGTCGTTTAATTATTATATATATGTTATCGTGTGGGTTCGCCCGCCATGGGTGTCTGTTGCTAAGTTTGGCTGAGTCGGCCCGAGTTGTGGCCTTGTGGGGTATGGGAATAAATAAATTGTCAAGTGGCCATGGCTGGTGGGTTTCTCATTCTGGTTCGTTTTCTAGTGTCGTGGCAAGTGGGAGTTTCTAGTCGTGTGGGGTTCTATTCTATCTAATAGTATGTAACTCTGATGTTGAGACTTACGTTTGTATGTGCCGTGGTCTTTTATTAATGAAGAGTTTGGTATTGTTATTCTTTGATTGATTGTGATTACTATATACTAGAGTTGGGCCTGCCCGTTGGTCAGATGAATTATATTAACTGTATAGTGATTATTCGAATCATTTATTCGGTAATATGAAAGAATCCAAATTATTCAATTACTAAAAGTATAGAAACAACATACATTATAAGTTTTAAAATGCCTTGATCATTCGTGGAAAAAATCCTTATCAAAACTAAACAACACAACTCATGCAAGTAACCATTTCCTAAAAAATTTAATATTCAAAATGCAATTCAATTTACTCTTTGATGTTAGAATTTACTGCAAATTTCCTTTTGATTGCTCAGCCATGAAAAGTATTTTCTCCACACAACTTCATCTTCATTAATTAAACTTTATATTCACTATCAATAGCATCTTCTTCTCCTGCATTTCATTGTAAACCAAATTTTAATGACAAAATGCTTGGAAATTTGAAACTTCTTTTTACCGTAGTAGAATTTCACCTCATACACGTCATTATCTCCATCACGGAATTCACTACCTCTGCTATTAGAATAATATTTCTTCTTCTCTTGCATTTCACTGAATGAAAAAATTTAATGGCAATTTTTTTTTAATTGTGAAATTTTCATTTTCAAGAACTTCACTTTACATACATGTTAGAAATTTGTCTGATATTGCTCTTCTTTCATTCTTCATAATCTTCAAAACTATGTACCCAATTATGGGTTCACGATGTTGTAATCGGTGAGCTTGATATGGAAATTTAACTTCGTTCTCTCGGTTTGTATGAGAGAGGAGGTAAAGGTTCTTTCACTTTGTAACTATCTTTGAATAGTCTCTCAATATTCATTTCAAAAAATCTAGCTTCCTCGTGATACAAAACAATAAATTTAGATTAAAAAAATATTGTATACAATTCACACTAATCCAATCTATAAAATGGAGATCTATTGTACTTCATTTTATGAATTATACAATTGATATTTTACATTCGGTTATGTCGCCTATACCTAAAGGGCACTACTCAAATCTCTTGAGATAGAGATCTCTAGCATCACAGTGGATGCCTTTTTGGGGTTAGATATAACCTGCCCTAGCAAAAGTATGATTCGGTTTGATTGGGCCACAAAGAATCTTCACGGATGTGCAAACTGACTTTGCCAGATTTTCAGGTGATGGAACTGTCTCTTTTGCTTTTGGTAAAATTTATTATGCTATTACTATGAGAAAGGGTCTTACTCATAATGTTTGGTTGTTACCTCTCGAGGATATTCTCAACCGGTCATCAGGATGCTACATCGAGGAAGTCTTCCCATTCTAAAGTCGGAGATATTTTAAGGGAAGTTCTTTCTCTCTTCTCAACTCCCTGTGTCAGTTTTGCGTCTTTGCTCTTCCGAGCTTTCATAGAGCTGCCCACCTCGTGGCAAAAAAGGCTCTTTTATCGGGAGTCCGGTTGCATACGGGCTACCGTTCTTTATTATTTTCAGTTTTATATATTTGTTGTTCGGCCATGCCCTGGGGGCTTATCTTGGATAAAAAAAAAATCTATAAAATAACAAAAATTGATATACATTATTTGGTTTAAAACTTTATTGTTTTAGTGGGTACGTTTATTTCTCCCTAATGAATGAACTTGAAGTTAAAAACATAGAAGAGTAGAGTTAGATTTTTACCTAACTACTATTGTCTTTGATGTTGTTGTATAATTCTTATAAAACTACTAACCATAGTCTTCTCTTCAAATTTTCTTTGGCAAGTTTCAATTAATATGGTTTTTCTAACCCATTTAAAATCATAGTTGAAATGGATGAGATAAAGTCCTCTAAATTTGCAAGAAATTAAGAATCCCTTAACTATGGCTCTTGAATTTTGTGTTAGCTGTAATTAAAGGAGGTTATGCACCAAAATTCCGTCCCTTTTACTTGGTTGTTTGAAGATCGTGCTGGAACATGTTTTGTCAATAAAATGATAGTATTTTTTGAGCTCCGGCCAATCTCAACTGTCAATTAGTATTTTTTATTATTGAAATTCTGGTTTGAGTTTAGAGAATCAGGGGATGGGGTTTATCTATTAGAGGTTAGGGTATAGTATCATACCCAAAACTCGATTTAATTCATGATCTAGATAGAGATATCTCGCTAAGAGTACCTGGAGTATACTATAGAACAGGAGTACACCAGTATGACCCATATAATATAATATAATATAGTATAGTATAATATAATATAATATAATATAATTTAATATGTATCTAATTATGCTAACATACTATATTATATAATATAATATAATATCATATCATATCATATGTATTTAATTATGCTAACATCCTACATATAATATAAAAATGGTGGAGCTTTTGTCTATTAACCTGCAAAAGAAGCGACGGAAAAAAATTAGCACAAAAGCTAAATATATACAAAGACTATATTGACCTTCCGAAGTGTGCGCAAAGGCCAGGAAAATTTATTTTAGAGAGTTTTCAAGGAGAATCTCCTTATAGGATGTGTAGGAGGTTGTCAAATAGTTGAACGAAGGCAACAATAATAAGGTGATGTAAATCGTTAGGTCCAGTGATGATATCACTAATATCTCGTTTATAAAAAAACAATGATAAGGCAATGCACAATTAATTTGGACGGAATCAAATTGAAAAATGAATTGTTTTGTTTCCTTCGTCAGAAGATTTCTAGTATTAGTGAGAAAAAAGATTGTCAAAAAGAGTTACGGTAGCGTCGCATGACAAACTACAACCAAGAACAATAATCAAACCCTATCAAACTAGCATTACAATGAAAGAGCTTTTCTATCTATTAAATCGGCCACCCTCTTCTCACTATGACTATTGGCTAAGCAATGAAATTTATTTTAAAATTAATTCCCATAGTTATCGGTCACCAAATGAGCCATCCTATTCTCACTCATACTAACCCAATGGACAGAAAATAAATGAAAATATTGGCGCAACAATTGAATTTCTTCTAGAATCGACTCCCTCGCCCCCCGCACAGACATTCATAATCTCTCCATGCGCAACCATCTCAAAAATCGTCTTGCTATAAAATATGACGTGATGGAAGCCATCAATCAGACTCCAATGGATCGCATACTGAAGTGGCAACAGCTCCACCAAGAAAGGGTATTTATTTTCATTATAAAGGTATGGCCGTCAAGACTGCACCTGCCGAATCTTGCACAATCCAACCACCCGCACCGTGTGAGTTGCACAGTCCGTGTGCACCCAAACAGTCCCCTCGAGCAAGTCTCCCACCCCTCTGTCACGGGCATAGACTTTCGAAGTTCGTGCGGCGTCTTGAGGTGCACTCATTCCTCAAGACCAGCCTCTCTGCATACGCATGCCAACTGGTTTCGCCCTGCCTTGGGCTCATCAGGGAGACGACAATAGCCTCCGACCAGTTGTGCCTTCTCTTGCAACGATCCCCCTTCATAGCCAAATCCTGACTCGGCCAGAAATGATGCACAGGAAGACAACGCCTTATCGCTAATGTCGCCCCCTTTACCCCTCTTATGGCAAGACAACCAGATGACAACGTTTTCAGACGATCAACACGGTCACGACATTTCGGGTCGTGACATTCTCCACCACTCACAATGCAGCACGTCCTCGTGTTGGTGAAGAATGCTTCTTCCCGTAGCATGTATTGCAACTCTCGAACAGATTGTGGGCGTACGCATACAATACCATCCTTTGATGGACAGGCTCCGGTCACGTCCTCGCGCTAGCCTGCTGTACCCCGCGCACATACCGCTTCGCCCCTCGACATCAACCTTCACTCTTTGCTTCTGCTGCGCTAGTACCTCAGTCGACTTTCACCCTACGCTACTCCCAGTGTTTGTACCTCAATCGACCTTCATCCTACGCTCTCGTTAGCGTTAGTTCCTCGGTTGAACGAAATTCTCGGCCGCTGCATCTTCACCCTGTCGAGGTCTCCCACAACGCCACAACACATGTGTATCTGCGTCCGGACCGCCTGATATGCACACCTAGGACCGCCTCTCATTCGGGCATAGGGTCGGCCCATACAAGACCTATGCCGTACTGAGAGAGGAATTAGGCTCTTCAGCTTAACCAGACTTTGATACCACTTGTCACGGACATAGACTTCCGAAGTCCGTGCGGCGTCTTGAGGTGCACTCATTCTGCAAGACCAGCCTCTCTACATACGCATGCCAACTGGTTTCGCCCTGCCTTGGGATCATCTGGGAGACGACAATAGCCTCCGACCAGTTGTGCCTTCTCTTGCAACAACACATGTGTATCTGAGTCCGGACCGCCTGATATATGCACACCTAGGACCGCCTCTCATTCGGGCATAGGGTCGGCTCATACACGACCTATGCCGTACTGAGAGAGGAACTAGGCTCTTCAGCCTAACCAGGCTCTGATACCACTTGTCACGGACATAGACTTCCGAAGTCCGTGCGATGTCTTGAGGTGCACTCATTCCGCAAGACCAGCCTCTCTGCATACGCATGCCAACTGGTTTCGCCCTGCCTTGGGTTCATCAGGGAGACGACAATAGCCTCCAACCAGTTGTGCCTTCTCTTGCAACGATCCCCCTTCATAGCCACATCCTGACTCGGCCAGAAACGATGCACAAGCAGGCAACACCATCGCTAATGTCGCCCCTTTACCCCTCTTATGACAAGACAACCAGATGATAACATTCTTCAGACGATCAACACGATCACGACATTTCGGGTCGTGACACCTCCCACCCCTAGTTGGTCGACCTCAAGGGCACAACCTATTCCTTGCACCAAATGCACATGCTCCCACTCCGCAACAAGGTGGCTTTGAAAACAACCATGAATTACAGAATTAGTAGCAAAATAAGAGATGGAAGATAGGAGTTGGAGTTTGGACTATCCAAGACAATGGGCTATGAAGTTTAAAAATTGGGCCTTCAGGCCCATAAACTAGAGGGGGTCCAAAGTAGGCTCAAGTTTCATTGGGCTTCTAGCGACAATGGTAGGTAGGTAGTAAGATGCTAGAGTGCCAATTTTGTCACAACATCAAAGGAGAGGCGACAAAGAAAGTGACATGAAATTCTGGCTTTTGTTAAGTAGTAGCATTTTAGAATTGGGAATAGAACTAGATTTGAACAAAAAAACAAAACAAGTAGGGAATGAAATTGACCAAAAACATATTTAGGTTATTTATCTAACTTCAATTTCAATTTAATTTCGCATTTATAATAATTTCATAACCCAAATAAATCCAATTTAGTCGATTCAAATATCGATTTGGTAACCAACAAATCAGTTTCCCTTGTTTTCTTCATAGCCTCACAATTCACAAACTACACTATAGCAGGAGATATGATCATCTAAAACTTCCTACTTGTTTTTTCCTATTTCCTTCCGCCTTCTATTATTATAAAACTCTGTTTCCCCCCTCTTCCCCTTTCTCTCCCAACTCCCAAAAACCCTTATAAATCGCCTCTCAATTCCCGAACCATTATCTTCTTCTCGCCGTTCGGCTCTCGGTTAGCCTCCCCGCGTTACCATCAAGAATCCCTCTCCGGTTTCTCCATCCAATCTTCAGTCGAGTATTGTAAGTAAGATCTTTCTTTCCTTCTTTATCGTTTGGGATTTCTCCCTCTCCGGAGTCAATTCATGGATGCTATTAGCAGGAGATTTTTGATAGGAGATTTGTGGGTTTTCATCGGAGATTTGTGGGTTATTGATTTCCTGCAGCGGCGAAATTTTTCACAGATGGAAGACCAGAGTCCGAGGCGGAGACAGATCATCGAAATCGATGCCCACCTTCCGGGTAGTAGCGGTAACGTTGGAGGAGTGGGAGGGTACAGCAAGATTTGTGCAGAGGCGCCTTGTGGCTTCTCTGATGCACTGAGCAGCAATTCCGAGGAGGCCAGGGAGCGGGCAGCTTCGATGCGGAAGCTCCTGATGGCGGTCGGGTTCTGTGTGATTTTCATGGCCGTTGAGGTGGCCGGAGGGATCAAGGCGAATAGTTTGGCTATACTGACTGATGCGGCGCATCTGCTCTCGGACGTGGCGGCATTTGCCATCTCGTTGTTCTCCCTGTGGGCTGCTAGCTGGGAAGCCACTCCGAGGCAGTCGTATGGGTTTTTCAGGATCGAGATTCTTGGTGCGCTGGTGTCGATGCAGATCATATGGCTGCTCACTGGGATTATTGTGTACGAAGCGATTGTTAGGCTCGTTTATAACACGGGGGAGGTGGATGGGTTCCTCATGTTTTTGGTTGCAGCATTTGGTCTGGTGGTGAATATTATCATGGCGTTTTTGCTCGGTCATGATCACGGTCATGGACATGGACATGGTCATGATCACGGGCACGGGCACGGGCACGGGCATGGGCATGGTCACGATCACGATCACGGGCATGATCACGAGCACGATCATGGACACCATCACAGTCATGAGGAGGGCCATCATGATCATTTAGAAGAAGGGCATCAACATCATGTTGATGAAGAGAGTGCGAAGCAGCAGCCATTGCTGGACAAGAGGGTAAAGGGGGAGGAGAAGAAGAAGCAGAAGAAAAAGAACATTAATGTTGAGGGAGCTTATCTTCACGTCCTTGGAGATTCCATCCAGAGCATAGGAGTAATGATTGGAGGAGCAGTGATATGGTACAAGCCCGAATGGAAGATAGTCGATCTGATATGCACCCTGGTCTTCTCGGTTATAGTCATGGCCACGACGATCAAGATGTTGAGGAGCGTTCTCGAAGTCTTGATGGAGAGCACGCCGAGGGAGGTCGATGCAACGAAGCTGGAGAAGGGGATTCTTGAGATGGAAGAAGTGGTGGCCATCCATGAGCTGCACATATGGGCCATCACGGTTGGGAAGATCCTCTTGGCTTGTCATGTCAAAATCAGGCCCGAAGCAAATGCTGACACGGTGCTGGACAATGTTATCAACTACATCAAGAGGGAATACAACATCAGCCATGTCACAATCCAGATCGAGCGTTAATGGTGGAGGTGAGTTAGTTCTGTGGCCACATCCAGAGCTTTACTTGCAGTTTTCTACTTAGAATTAGTCCCTAGATAGGCAACTTGAACTTAGTTAGGATTTGTACTTGCAAGTGATTAAGTTTATCGCAGTTTTCGGTTCATGACTGCTTCAGTAAGTCCCTTCCTTAACAGCAAAAGTTTTGTATGAATTACCATATCAAAAATTGGCATGTTTCGTCTGCTATTTTCTCTATGGAGGAAGAATTGCGTGTCCATTGTCTTGCTGCATGACAGTATGAATGCATCAAGCCATCAACTGTCTGTCTGTGACTGTAAAAGTTGGGTGTATCACTTTTGATATATTGCAAGTGTTACAGGGCATCATGGTATGAGGCTATCAGGCTAACAACTTCTGGGATTTCAAGTTACATTGGGATAGGGGCATGGACCTGATGATTAGGTTAGAGTTGTGAATGGAAAACGAAGTCACAGAGAATGATTTGATCGAAGCTTCGATCATCGGGGCACTAGGTGCTGTGATGAAAGTCTAAAGGGTTGGGTCATTGGTCTCATGAACAAGAGGTGGCTAGCTGGGGTATTGAGCTGACTGATGAGTAAGAGGGTAGGCTCTAGTCTTACCAGGACTCGCGCAACAATGTTATGATGCTTGTTGCGAAACGATTCTGATATGAACACCGCTGGATCGAATTGGTGAGACTAAAAGCTAAGGTAATCTGGCATGGTAGAGTCATGAATATGTAAGGCATGATACGAGGCGAAATCGTCTAATTATTGTCCACGAAGAAAACATGTATTCATGAATCATCTGCTGTGTTCTTTTGGATACGAAGTCTTATGCCCTCTTTTCCTGGAAACCCACTGCTCTGCATTTCCTTTTCCTTCTGTTATTCTTTCTCGCTGAGAGAGGGAGAGTGACCAAACTGGAATTTGGCCACCAAACAAGCAAGAACACAGTTAAAAAAGAAGCCTCCCCTCCATTGCCCCTCTTGTTTCCATTCTTCACGTGCACGGTAAAAAAAAAAAGAGAGAGAAAAAAAGCTGCAGTAGGATGATCAATGATCCAGCCATATAGCAGCATAATAAAAATAACTATAATGAATAGAAAATGTCAAGTTATATATAAAATTATTTAGGGTAAATGACACATTTGGTCACTGAGATTACTAAATCGTGTCATGTTTAGTCACTAGAAAATTTTAATATCAATTTTGGTCACTCGAATTACTGAAATAGGTCATATTTAGTCACTCTCCTGTTAGTTTCCGTCGGAAACTAACGGGAGAGTGACTAAATGTGACATGTTTCAGTAATTCGAGTGACCAAAATTGATATTAAAATTTTCTAGTGCCTAAACATGACACGATTTAGTAATCTCAGTGACCAAATGTGGCATTTACCCAAAATTATTCATCCTCTCAGTTGATTCATCTAAAAAAAGACACGATAATCTACACGTACAGATTATCATTCATTCATTGGATTGATTATCCTGATACAAAGTGTTATTCATTAACAAGCAACGATAAAGAATCGATTCCAATGCAACTCTTCCAAATTCAATCTTCGGTGTGACGTCATTCAGGAATACTGATAAATTCGTATTATCGAGAGATCTAAATGTTGTATCATGTAAGCATTAGATTTGAGTCCCTATCCATAAGAGATATACAAGAAATAATAACTCTCAAATCTGGGATTCAAAGATTTTTTCAACCCACCATGCACATTTCTATCCAATATACAAAGCAAAGAAAACATATATGCATATAAAGGATAAATTACACGTTTGGTCACTCAAATTATACAAATCTTTCACGTTTGCCACCCAAATTACTTTTCTTTCTTATTCGCCACTAACTTTACGAATCATTTCACGGTTGATCACCGGCCGTTACACTCCGTTAAGTCTGTCCTACGTGGCAGTCAACTATAAAGTTTGACCGTTAACTAGATGACGTGGAAATTAAAAAAAATAAAAAAAATTCCACCTCATCATTGCACTTATTTTGTCTTTATAATTTATCATATTAATAATTTAATAAAATTTAATAAATTACAAACTTGTTCATTTGCGGCAATTTTTTGTCGGCGGATTCTATGGTACAGGCACGGCACTAGTGCCGACAGTTTTGTAACCGTTGGATATATTGCATTTAAGGAGGGCCGTAGATGAATAACCATCATGTAACCAAAGCCGGTTGAACCTTTTGGTTAAATCTATTTAATGTTTAAGTTATTTATTATTATAATTGTGCCATCGATCTCCCGCTTTCAGTACTGCACGCCTCCATATATATTCTGGACTTCCAAAGATCCAGTTCTGGAAGAAAACGAATGCTTGTGAAATCGGCCAATAGAGAATGCTGGTTATAAACCTAATAAAGTATGTAAACTCATCCATCACTGCTGCAAACTTGAACAATTAAATTCAGACTAGAAATACTAGAAGAAACAATCAAGTGAGAAACATGTGGCTTGAACTGCTGCAACTCCAAGTCTCCAACTCCAAGATACTCCGAAAATTAAACAATCAAGGGTTTTCGGGATGTTGGGTGATGACTGACGGCCAACCACCGCCAACGACGATGCTGGTGGTGGATCGCCTCCACGTAGCTATGATCGGCGGCAGGGCGGTCACGGCCGTCGTTGGCGAGCTTCACTGCTGTCTTTCCGTTCATGGTTTTTATGCCCGCGCCCAGAAACATCAAATTTTAATTTCGGTGAACTCGAAAAAGCTGACTCAAACTTTGAAACCAAGGCAATAATTATACAATCGAGGAAGGAAACAGAGCGAAGAAAGTAAACAGAGAGCTAAGGGAAAGGAGGGGTTGAAAATCAAATGATCCTCGGCTTCCCCTCGTGGTTTTCGTAGGAGAAGTGGCGAAAGAGGAGCCAGAAGAGGTGGGACTAATCAATCCGGAGCAGAATCCAACCCGATCCGGCCACCAACTCCGCCGTACGTGAGAAGTGGGTGTACTCTGTTTTGGCAACCATTTGGTTTGTAGCAGAGAGAATAGACAGATATCCCTTTGAGTGGGGTAAGCGGGGAGGGAAGTGACAAAAATTCCAACACGGAAGTGAAAGAAAGGAAGGGAATTTTTGTGGGTAGATGTTATCTGGGCACTGTCTTTTTCGGTGGTGGGGTTTGAGCTTTGAATTGAAAGGAAGAGAAGATGAAAGAGAGACAGTAATAATCCGGCTCTGTTTTAGATGGAGAGAGAAAGAGAGGAAGCTGGAGAAGGTATTCTGAACTTGAAGAACCTGTGGCTGCGCTTTGCGGAATGCATTTGTGTATGAACTGGAAAGGAGAGAGGAAACCAGAGGGAGACGACGATGATTTTGGAGAAGATGAAGATGAGGGTGGCAAGAAAGGGGAAACAGGGGAAGGGTTCTTCTGGGGAATGGGAATAGGAAGAGAGAGAGGGAGAGATATATAACAAATTTTGCAAACTGGTAGGCAGTGGATGGTGGATTGGTGGTGGTGGTGATGGCCTCAAGTTTGTAATTTATTAAATTATATAGACAAAATAAATCTATATGATAAATTATATAGACAAAATAAGTGCAATGATGAGGTGGAATTTTTTTTATTTTTTTTATTTTTTTTTAATTTCCACGTCATCTAGTTAACGGTCAAATTTTATAGTTGACTGCCACGTAGGACAGACTTAACGGAGTGTAACGGTCGGTGACCAACCGTGAAACGATTCGTAAAGTTAGTGGCGAATAAGAAAGAAAAGTAATTCGGGTGGCAAACGTGAAAGATTTGTATAATTTGAGTGACCAAACGTGTAATTTAGCCTGCATATAAATATTGTAGGACCTTGGGGAGGGGTGGTCCTTAAACCAGCAGTCCAATCCTCATTCAAGGGTCCCCAGGCTGACCCAGATGAAATCATGTATTAAGTGAAGCATATCTATGCCATGGATTTTTTACTGTCCTCACAACTGATCTGGACCAGCAGGGGCAGTAATTAATTGCGAAAGGGAGAGAAGGAAAGAGGAGGAGGGGGATCGATCGAGAGAGAGAGTGAAAGGTTAATCATTTGTAGTAAAAAATTACATGCAGTAAGCAAATTTTTACTGCAGAGCAGAGTACTATGTTTTTTTTTGCTTGTTTGGGTTACTGATAAGAGTGATAGTATATGGGTTTGAACATTTGGTCACGTGGGCTTGAGTGAGTTTTGTTGTACACTTCATTTCCCAAGGTGTAACTGATGGAAATAATGTAATTCATAAAAAAAAAAAACAGATGGAAATAATGTGATGATAGTAAAGTAGTAGTAGTAGTTCAAAAACTAGTAAATGAGACTGAACCAAGACACTGACCAACCTTCCCCTGCATTCAATTCCTACTTGTTAGGTCGGGTGGGGGTGTCAACCCATGAGTCGGCCCAAATTGTTGCCGGTGGTGATAGTCATATCTCTCAATTAATTTGAGAACTCGGTCATGTCATCCTCGTTTAAAAGTTTGAAATATGAACTTCGTGCTGTATTTGTGTTTTCGAATAATGTTCAATCGATAGTGATTATCAACACAAAACTAAGATCAGAGAGTTTTGACACATGTGTATTTTGTTAAATGAAAGTTATATTTCGATCGTTAAACTTTGACGTACGAAGTCAAGTTATAGAGAGGAATCGATTATGCACCATCTCAAAACATTGTCACTCCCTTATTTACTAACTTTTCACTTCATTCGAAGCTCGAAAGTCATAATCTGACTTTGATATTTTTTTTTTTAGATAAGGGTGATATATGTTTTTTTTTGTTATTAGGTACTACTGAAGGGACTCGAACCTGGAACATCCAGGTTCATGACTAGTGGTATTACCACTAGACCAATCCCTTGTTCGTTATCTGACTTTGATATTTTCTGGAGGCTCCAAAGAATCAACTAAAGGCAGATTCACCTTACAACATATTTAACAAAGAAACCTACAAAAACCAACTTTCATTGACAATTAACACCCGTCTATTTCAATAACTCGAAGATCGCTTTGAGTTTGCTTAACTACCAGTTCGCAAACTATGCAAATACAGAGTTTGCTTGAGGCAGTGGTAAGCCACAATTCCCTTTCAAGCTTTCACAAAACCAACAACATAGAAAAGTAACGGGTAAATGACACATTTGGTCACCGAGATTACTAAATCGTGTCATATTTAGTCACTAGAAAAATTTAATATCAATTTTGGTCACTCGAATTACTGAAACAGGTCACATTTGGTCACTTTTCTGTAGCCTCTGTCCAACTCCGGTCACTCGAATTATTGAAAAATGTCACATTTAGTCACTCGGATTACTGAAACATGTCACATTTAGTCACTCTCCCAAAAGTTTCCGTCCAACTACATTAATGGAGTTGGACGGAAACTGACGGGAGAGTGACTAAATTTGACCAGTTTCGGTAATTCGAGTGACCAAAATTGATATTAATTTTTTCTAGTGACTAAACATGACACAATTTAATAATCTCAATGACCAAATGTGTCATTTACCCGAAAAGTAACATAAAGAAAGCTTGGAAAGGAAAGAGATAGATACTTGTATTTTGCCTATGGGAATGGACAGTTTCAAACTTGTAAACCACTATTCCAATATTAACATATCATGTTGTGAGAGAGAGAGAGAGAGAGCCCCAAGAACCAATAATAACCCAAGGTGAAAAAAAAGAGAGAACTTTCTTCCTTTTCTACTATGTGAAAACATGATAATGTGAACAACAGTAAATCAGTAAAATGTTTGACAAGAGATTGAGCCGTCCAGCCAATATCACCCCCACCACCCACCCTTCAAATTCTCACCTCCTCCTTCCCCCCAAAATCCATAATCACCCAAAAGCTCAAGCAACCACAACAAGGAGAAGAAGGAGGAGAAGCTTCTTCTCAACTCGAAATCCTCCGTAGCCATGTTCTTTGGACAACTTCCTCTTCCTCTTCATCACCATATCTCCCATTCGGTCGAGAGGAATCACCACGATCAGGAATAAGCTACAAGGACGCAAACAAAAAAGTCAGAAATTCTTGAAATCCAAATTATTCTCGAAAGCTTTCGTTAGTGCATATAAGAGACATTCGAGAAGGAGAAGAAGAAGAGGGAAAGGGAGGGAAGAAGCATATGAGATAGTCACGAAGACTCGAACCCAACTCATCGTGGAGAGGCTTTTGGTGATGCAAAGAGACACATGTGAGATCAAGAGAGGGATAAATAATGGTGTGAATGAATGATTGTGAGTGTCTACATGATTTTTTTTTTCTTTCCTTCTTCTTGCTTTTGTTGATGGGTTTCCTTCTTCTCTTTTGTCACATAGCCAAAATGAATGTGAGTGAGGGGGGAAAATTGAGAGTAGGGGAGAAGAGACCAAAGGAGGGAAAGAGAGGATTGGTGAAGCAAAGCAATAAATAAGGAAAGGCAAGAGTGGTGAAAGGAAAACAAAAGCAAGTAGCTAGAGAGAAGAAGAAGAAGGTACATTTGATTTATGTTAAATGGGATGGTGATAGATTTCCAAAGTTGGGCCTCTGTCTTATCTCATTTACACATATGTTTACTATTTGGTCATGTTTATCAGCTTGCTGAATTATTATTAATTTGAGTTGCTCAAAACATAATCAAGCCAAGCCTAAAGGAAATTTGTTATGGATTTTTTTTTATGACGAGAAGCATCCTCCGGGTCACCACCTTGGTGATGTCGTAGTCGGGTCAAACCCTGAGTCTGGATTTTTAAACCTATTTACCTTATAAACAAACTTACTATTGGTTTTTTTGAACTTTATAATAACACTCTTTCACTTGTAGCAGAAGGCCCTGATTAGCTAGATTTGCACAAGCAACCTCTCTGTCCAGTGCCCACATTTCCATTTTCTCCCTCTGGCCCCCCTAACCCTTTTGGCCCTCCAAATCCTCACTATGCCCTCATGCTTCTTTCTTCCCCTCTTTACTCCAAACCCTAATTCTAGCAAGAAAGAAGTGGTCCTTGTGAACCCCCACTATAGCGGTCGTATTCATTCAACCACGTATTGAAATCGAATTGATGTAGCTCGACAACTATTCTATTATTAAACTCGTACGATATAATTCGTATGAATTCAGTCGGTCGCGTATCGAAAATCAAACCCCTTATCCTTCTGTTCAAACCAAATGTGTTTCCAGCCTGGAACAAATGTCTTACAAATAATTATTATTTCTTAATTTTAATTGATCCTGACTCATCTCTTGTCCCAAGGAAACAAGGTCTTGTACTAGAGTCAAAGCCTAAAGCTTTTCTCGAGACAGCCACCAAAAAGATAAAAAAAGAACATGCAAACAGCTAATAGCCTTATAACAAAGTACCTACTACCTCTATTTCTTTAACCTAATAACAGATTTTCTAGCTTAGGACTATTTGGAAAAAAATGGTTCATTGCCCTACCTGTTGGAAATTAAGGGCACCCCTTAAAACGGCATTCCCACTTGCAAGTTGCAATTGGGTGGGAGAAAAGCAAAGTCCCCCGGGTTTTTGGTATCCATGTTAAGGGCAGAAAGTTCTGCAGAACCTTATGGTGAATGTGAATGCCCCTCTTTTCTAGGGCTGTTGGCTGCTGCAGTTTGCTAGATACATAGTTCTGCAAACTGTTCCTTTCCCCTTCCTACACTTGTTTTGGGCCAAACAAAAGTTCAGAACTTACAAAACCCTAATGAGGGCTAGGACCTAAGTTTAGTAAACTGCAAGCAACCACCTCCAATAGCCCAAAACCCTCTCAAAATTCAACCATCCCCCACATTTCAGGGCAATTCAAGACCTGATCTGAGATTGGTTTTCATGAAAGTTGAAAACTTTGAATCTCACCCTTCCCAAAATATTGATCTTTAAGTGACCTATAGTTAATCCAAATGGATTTATGAGAGTAATTCTAACTACAAGTCTTTACTCTATGTTTGTGTGTAGTCACATCGTCCCAATTCAAACAAAAAGATTACACTATTACAGCATAAAACTAGACAAGAAAACAAATAAACTTATTAACTTAAAAAGAACAAAAAAATTGACTTGAAAACACAAACAAACACCTCCTTCCCCAATGTTCAAAGACAAAGATTGCATGCATATAAGCACAACATAGGAATCCGGGATGGTCGGGCTTTGGAATGGAATGAGACATGGTGGGGGTCGATCAACGATGGGTGTTTGGACACGTGTACGGTGATAAGGGCAAGGTGCAACATCCAAGCATATATATGTTCGCATTGTTGCAGACTTACAGTATTGTAATGTAAATATGTAATCCTTGATATAGGAGGAAAAGAAAAAGGGAAAGAGAGAAACAGCAAGAGACAGAATGTCTGAGGAAAAAGCCAAGGGAAAAGAGAAATTGGACACACTTTTGAAATTGAAAGTAAAAAGTTAAAAAAAAGAAGAAGAAATGAAATGAAATGAAATGAGTGAGTGGTACCTGATGAGAAAAGTAGGGCTTCTAAACCCAAGACAAAGAAGAAGGAAGGTGATTTTGACTAGTGATGAGTGATCTTCTTTTTTCACCAATCCATCCCACTTTGATCAAACGGTCCACATTGCTTTTACTTCCCTCACTAAAACCCCAAAATTGCAGAACTGGGTTTAAGTCAAATGGGTCTTCCTCCTCCTCCTCAAAACCCTGCAAGATTAGCAATGAACAATGAGGAACAGAAACAAGAAGTAGGAACAATGAAAAGAATCCTAATGAAACTAGGAGTAATTATGCCTCCATTCTTTCCATCTAGGCAACAGTTTTGAGAAAGATTTGAGCTTTGAATATGCTAGAACCCCATGGTTTGAGTAAAACCCAGATCTTGAAATGCTGCAGAAATGCAGGAAGCTCAATGGGTTCTTGAGTTTGCAGAGAAAAGGTGCAATCTTTGCAGTTCTTACAAACACAGAATTGTGAGGCAAGAGGGGGGGAAGAGGTGCCAAAAAGGAGGAACAAAGTTTGTACCTTGTTGATGTGTGAATGGTGGAGAGGACAGGACACCAAAAGCTCTCTGTTGCAGCAGCTGTTTGCTGCTTGGAAAAGCTTCAAACTTTGAGCTCCTTGGAGAAGCAATGGAGATATGGAAGTGGAGAAAGAGAGAGAGGAAGGGGATATGTGTAAGGGTGGTTTATTTATGGACTTTGCTTACTTGCTTACAGCAGCACTATATAATATTTAAAAAAACAGTGATATCATAGTAATTTGGTCCATTTTCAAAAAAAAAAAAAAACTTATTCTAAGCAAGAGATAAAGAAAAATTTAATCCCTTTATAGATCAAGTTGATACTTATCTTGTGTAAGACTTTGAGCTCACATTTGGGCTATGTACTAATTGCCCACTAATCAGTACTTAAGTCACTAAAAGAGGCTAAACTGTCATTGTTAAGGGTCTCTCTCTGATCTTCTTCCCACAGTCACAATCTGGCTTCTACTAAAGAAACTTAGAAGAGAGCATAAAGAAAAAGTAAAACTAGAAGAGGGGAAAGAAAAGAAGGGAGTTCTTTTGGTTTTTATTTCCCTCTGCTGCTGCTCTCACTCTGCAAAAACTGCCATAGATATAAAAGGTTAAAAAAGTGACTGTGGAGATGAGATTGGGGTTTGATCTAGTTTCAGTAGATTGAGTGAGAGAGATATATAAATATAAACAAATGATATAAAAACAAAAGAGAAGAAACCCATAAAAAGGTGGCCACCAGCCCACCACCAGGGATTGTGTAGGTTTTTTTTTTTTTTGACAATTGTAGGCTTTTTTGTTGTTGTTGTTGTTGCATTTGTGTAGGCTTTTTAAAATGGAAGAAAGGAAGGGTTGATCATAGTTTGGGGCCATTCACAAATCAGTGACTTAAGTTTAAGTTTAAGTATTTAGCATACTTGTCATTGATGTTTCATATAACATAATAGTCAGTTTGTTGGTGTTCATCAGGTTTTCCTTGTGGATTGTCCCAAATTAGCAATACCTAACATTGAATCAGTAGGTAAGATGAGGTCACGATCACATAGACGTTAACTAATCAAAGTGAATAACAATTTAGCTCATACCAAATCCTAATCTACTGAATACGTGATCCTGAATCCATTATCAATGTATATGTTATGCAACCAACTACTGGTAGCAGTTATTTACTTATTTATGTAATTCACCACAAGTTGGTGGCAGATGTTTTTTTCTTTCCCACTGGCTACTACTACCACATTTGATATCTAATACCCAGCCAGCCCCATGTGAACTGAGCTTCTAAACATAGAGTTACATAATATTATAATCATGGGACAATTAACAACTTCCCAATATGTTAAAAAGCCCACTGCAAAAAGCTGGGTGTGTCTCCTTACAAATGGAAATCAGTCTATTCTTCACCCCATAATAAAAAATGGATGCTGTAATGTACTTTTTCCTTTTCAATTGAGAGATTTGATCTCTTAATCTGCTCATTATGACAGCACCATTAACTTGAAAGCAGGTTGCTTTGCCTCCTCCTTTTATGGGGGGCTCTGGGACCATCAAAGAGAAAAGAGAGCCTCATCTTCCTAGCTAGTTTCTTTCTTGTATTAGGAGAGAATTAGATTAGAGGATGTAATGAAAGTTTGTGAACTCTCAGATTGGATCACTGAGAGGCAGAATATATTATCACATATACAAATATCTACTCATCTTCCTTTTTTACAAAGAAAACAACACTTCTTTATGCATTTACTTACAATAATCTATATACTGACTATCTTCCCTATGTATATTGCAGAGTTCAGGTCACTGCTCGAACACTGTGAGAGTTAAGGATAGTCTTACCAGACACTTCTCATAACAAACCACAGCTCGAGTATTTGAAGATGGTCTGCACTTCCAAACTCCTGTCTTTCTTTTCGTATGAGGTGCAGGCAGACGATGCAATACAGTTCTGATCTGAATGTACTCATATCTTCTTTTGGATTCTGATTCTCATACGTTCTTCACTTGCAGCTGCTTCGATGGATGCTTATATTATGCTATTATATAGTTGGTAGCAGCTAGAGTTTCTTATTCACTTCAACAAATCAGTAGCATCCTTCATTCCTTCTTCGACCTGACAAGAATAGGTGTAACTGAGAGGTTTCTCTGCTTTTCAGGAACCAAAACCAGACCAACTTTCTTCTCCTTCGATTCACTCTTGATGGATTCGCTCACATTTCCGAGTATCTGCACCACCAAGCTTCCACCTACCAGAAGGCATGTATCAGTTATCTTATGTACTTGAACTTGATGTTTCTTCTAGTGGCAATTTAGCTATGCATTCACTTACCAAGAACAAGAGCAGCACCAATCCATCCTGCAGTTCCCCACCTCTCCCCTAGCAAGAACCAAGCAAAACCAGCTCCCCACAGGGGCTCTAGCCCGTAGATTACTGCTGTTTCAGTTGCCGAGACACTACGCATTGCAGCCATCTGCATAGAAGGAGCTTCTTCTTGTTATGATTCATGAAGACAAGACTGTTGTGCAAGTTACGAGAACCATGATTACCTCAGCCCATAAGCATAATCCAGTTGAGAATACACCGGTATAAAGAGCTGGCATCCATGGAAATGAAACAACCCAATCCCACATCATCAACCAGCTCCAAGAGGATTGGCTAAGCTCTCGGTTTCCGTCGAGCAATCCTCCAATCACAACCCAAATCGTGGATGACATGGCCACAACACATACCTAGATATCAAAACCGACCGATTCTCATTCAACATCTATAGAAACCCCAAAGCTCAATCTTGTAAGCGACGATGGAGCTCAGCATACCTCATATCCAAGAAGTGGCAAAAAGTCTTCTTTCTTCATCTTCCTCGAGAAATGCTCAGTTCGTAGCATATGAATCCCAAAAAATAAAGCACTCAGAAAGCTCAATAGATCTCCAACCTGCAAACACCCCACGTTACTTCCGGAACAAGCTTCTAATTACTTCTTACAAACGGTGTGCAGTAAGCTCGATTGATAACCCTACATTAGGCGGAGACCCACTGCTTTCCAACATGGCAACACCAATTGCAGACATCAGAACTCCGAACCAGGTGCGAGCTGGAACTATCCCTCCTAACATGCCGTCAAGCAATGGCACAGCGATCACCTGTTCACCCGAACAAGCAGATGTCGTTTAGTGGAATGACCAGTTAGGAGTGTTTTCGACCGTTGTAGGCAAAGAGCTTACAGTGAACAAGGAGATGAATGATGCTCGGCTAGCATCAGCAGTGAGTAGACCAACTGCTTCAATAAGGTACCCCAAACTAGCCCATAATCCGAGCTCAAATCCTGCATTTCGGGTATGACTGTCGCCTCTTGATCGAAGCAAGAAAGGCACAAATGGGATTGCAGACACCAGGAATCGTACTGCTGCGAAGGCAGCTGGATCAGTTGTTGCCTCTACTGCTTTCACCATACAGATATCGCTCGCTGTAAATGCCAAAGAACAATTCAATGGGTTATCGATTGCTTCCATCAACTGAAAAGAAACAAACTTTTGTACAAATTATTCATTCAATTCACAAATTTCTTCCCCAGTTCCAGCAAATTGAGCTACTCTCATCAGCATCAGTAAATCAGAACCAAAAAGCCCAAAACACCTTCGATTGAGATTCAGAAACAAAAAAAACCAATCAATCCAGTTCTAGAGTTCGTCTCAATTTACAAACGCATCGCCAAAGCAGAAAGAGAAAACAATACCGTAAACAACAGCGACGACATTGAGCAGCAGAACGCTCCTCAACTTCCGGGAGCGAAACCGAATCTTCCTCCACAAAGGCCGCTTTTTGACGCCAGAGATCGAGCCACCACCATCGCCTCCCTCATTGCCGGCGGGATTCTCCGCCGACGCCTCCTCCTCGACCGAGGAAGAAGCCCACCCGGTCCCAATTTCGCCTCTCTTGATGAATCGGGTCGGGGCATTTCGACCCGAAGTCGAACAGGGCGAGGAATCAGAAGATGGGTCGGAGCAGAGAGTGATGAATCGCGATCTCCGGCTTCTTCCCTCCGCAGCGGAGTATAAGCGCAAGCACCCAGAAGAAACCGCGTCGTTTCTCCCACCGGCGGCGACGGCAGTGAGAGCAGCGGCCACCGTCGGGCAAGAAGCGGCCATTGGAGGAAGAGAGAAAGCAGAGAAGAGAGCGAGTGAAGTAGATTATAGGAAATTTATTGGACCAATTGGAATTTTGAGATTTGGGGGAGGAAGGAAGAAAGGACCACGGGAAGGAATGGCGATTCACACGTGCCTTAAGGAGGGAGGAGTTCAACGGTGGTGGGCCGGTGGCGCGGCGGGGACTCTTCCCGCGGACTGATTTGACTGACTGGCTAAATAATTGAGTGCCCGCCATAAAGATTTGCTGCTTTGCAGTCTTTCCCTCTAATTTGTGATTGTGTTCAGATCGGTCCTCCATTTCCTTCACATTTCAATTTCAGGACTTGTAGCTTAGCTGTGGAGACATTCGAGTCGAATGTGGAAGTGGAACAAGTCACCTAAATGTGTTGTGTTATATCTAGGGCTGTCCATTTGGTTTTGGTTTTTTGGTTTTAACCGAAACCAAACCAATTGGAAAGCTAATGGTTTCAGTTTTTTGGTTTTAAACCAATAAGCAACTTATTGGTTTTTGTTTGGTTAAAACCGAAAAACCAATAAGAATAAATTTATTTATCAACAAATATTTATTTATTTTTTGTTTCTTTTGACACACATGTCAACCAATAATTTGTAATGGCCATTTACCATTATTATGACGTTTATTCAATAAAAAGAAGGGAAATAGGAATAAATATGAGTGTATGAGTACATGTTAGTTTTTTGGTTATCCAAACCAAAACCAAAACCATTAAGGCCCTTATTGGTTTTTGGCAACCAAAAACCAATAAGGGCCTTAATGGTTTTGGTTTTGGTTTTTGAGATTTGGTTTTTGATTTTTGGTTTTTCATACTTAATGGTTTGGTTAACCAAACCAAACCAAATTGACAGCCCTAGTTATATCTCTAATTAGCTATACTGCTGGTTCAAAACTAGAGGTGTGATTGCTTCAAAATATCGAAATAAGATCATAACTATACATATTTTCAGACTTCAAAATGATTATTGGCAATTTCATAGTTATTTACATGAGATATGAGGAATACATTATATGATTGTTCATGATTTACGATACTTTAGAGCGAATCATTTAATTATTTCATAGGTTTTCTTCACTAGCTACAACCGTCTGATCGATGTTATGGTATTCGTTTCGTTGATCTAACCTGTTAGTAATTTCATCTTCATATCATTCTCCCCCCTTATTGCATTTTCCTAAGTAATATCCTTCTTCGAATATTTGATAGACGATAAGAATGAGAGATTTGTTAGTAAGCGGTATATGATCTAGAATTGAACCTCTCTCAATAACTCGAGCTATTAATATTAATCGGTTTTTGACATGGTATCAGAGCTTTATATGACCGAGAGGTCTTCCGAATCCCGATAACCCTCATTTACTAAGCACACGACATTCAAACATGTGCAAACTTCAAACTCATTTGAGTAGATTCTTGTCTGAAGGGGCAGTGGCGGACCCAAAATTCTTTGATAGGTGTGTCGGCAGAGAAAAAATAATTAATAAATTAAATATATTAAATAAAAAGTAAAATAAAATATTAATTCATTAAGGTTGTAATTTATTATTATTTTTCACAGTGACACACGACAACTTTTCATATTCATAAAGGTTTGTAAAATATATTTGTCGTTTATGGTGTGATCAAACTTTTTTCAACGTACAAAGTAAAAATTCATTCATAAAACTGATTTTGAAGTTCGCTCTTGATTAACTCCATAGCATAAAATGGAAAGCAGGAACGCTGGCGAAATGCGTTAACGTAAAAGTTTGAAAGAGGATGTGGTTCCTCCGGCAGGTGCTAGCAATTAGAGAGTGGAGCAGAGGACAGAGAACTGTGAGCCATGGGTTGTGGATTTTTTCCTCTCGACATTTTCACTAAAAATTAAAATAAATAATATATTTTTGTATTTTGGTACCTATTGCTATATGACATCAAAATCAATGTAGTGTATTAAAGGTATGTCGATTGCAATTATGTGAGGAGTGTCAGAAATGTCGAATTCAAGTTTTTTGTACCAACGAAACATGGATCTCTCACAAAATTTCCGAGTCGACACACCTTGCTAATGCATGGGTCCGCCCCTGTGAAGGGGTATGTTAGTTAGTGGTATATGATCACCAATTAAACATCTCTCAACAACTTGAGTTATTGAAATCAACTGATTCTTATGAGATATATCTCATAAGGCATCATTATCATATATCTTGTTTGTTGTAACTTTATTTGGAAAGGAAAGGGTGGCTAGCACTCCAAGTAAGCGAATGCTTCCACTCAACAAATAGAGATTCCTCAGTTCTTCCATAGATCGCTTGGCGTTCACTCTGCAGTCTGCATGAAAGCTGGAAGAATTTCCGGGCAAAACTTGATAGCAGGCTGGGTCTTTTGGCCCACTCTAGCAAGAAGTCAGAAATAGCGGGCCATCGGCCCAATCAACAAGATATTTGCCCGGTGCCATCATGCCTTCGGCCCTTTTTGAGTTCTTGTCAATGGTATTGAAAAGGCGGAAAGGAGGGGAAGTGCATCCTGAAATTTGAAATTGAATTTTTTTAGATAAAAAAAATTGTGGTGGTATCTAAAAACAAGTTATTTCATTATCATCTTGTGTGATCTTTCATTGTATCTTATTCCATCACCAATCAGGTGGTAATTAGGAGCTGATACACAGTATATTAGGCACTTGGAATCGAACATTAATGTGATTAGTTGGACACTTAGATTCTTCCACATATCTAACAACCCTAAGGAACAATATTAGCCAGCCGACCAAGCTTAGTGCATAAAACATACACAAGATAAGTGCTAACTAGCTAACATATATTCTCCTTTTGGAAACAATCTACCTAAATTGGCTATATATAGCTAGCTCTCTTCCAGCAAAGATTCCCCAAATGTAAATTTTGGATTTATCTTATATTATATTGACGAGTATCGATGCATATGTTCGGGGCTCTTCAAATTTTATAGGAATGTAGAAATTAATTAAAATGCCTCGAGTTGCAACAGGTATGTAGAATTTGATGATGCGGAAGATGAAATAACATCAGACAAGAGATTTTACGTGGTATACTCAATCGAAAGAGCTCACATGCAGCTGACGTTTTATTGGACGACTACATCTTGACTACTTGCTTACGACATGACCGTAGCTAAACTTTTATAGAGATAGACTTAGGGTTAAAATCCTAGCAGACCCAACAAATTTAAGAAAATGACAGATTTCGAACACACGATCTTAATAGTAGCCAACCATCATGAATCTGATTCATTTTATTCGAAAGAGTAGACACTACAAAAAAAAGTAAAAAACTGAATCCAAAAGCATACCGCGCGCCAACTATCACACATCTCGTCTGTCTTACAACTTGAGCCACGCCTTTCCCCGACTATGTGGAGGAAAATTAAGAATCTTTCCCATTGTTCTGGTTCTTTGTGCTCATGGGTGTTCTTCATCATCATCATGTTTATATGCGATCCTACCGATCGAAATGCAAGTCTTATCCAGGAAAATTGCATGGATTCGATTGATATGCAGATTGCAGAGACATCTTCGTCAGTCGTCATTGCCATTTATGTCAGCAGCCTAGCATCTGGCCTACGTACGGCCATGCAATTTGCATTCTGGTGGATCAGATGATAATTCCTCCTCATCACCGCCACGTACCCATATGCCATATTTATGCAGATCCCCCAATTCCATTTCCTTTTTGTTTTTGCGTGTACAAACTTTATGTAATGCGTTTATGCTTGTTTTCAGGGTAGGTTTAACTTCCAGTAGTTAATTATAACTACTATGAGAAGAATCTAAGAGATATATCAAATTATGCCAAAGTTTTATTCCCAATTGCTTGGGCATATGTCTTCGATGACTCACATGCACTGTGAAGCTCATTTCTATTCTCAATCTGTGATATTGTTAGGTGATCCCGGTCTTATTATTTTTTAAAAATGTTGGATGCGTTATTAATTATTATGTATAAATGAAGTGTAGATGTGAGATCTTCAAATTGATGAAGGTCTAATAGTGAAATTTATAACCACGTCGTAATGAAGTACTTTTACATTAAAAATTACATTTTACATGTGCCAGAGATCCGTATGCCTTAATAACTCAAGAGTTAATTATTTTGAGATATTGTGTGATGAAACTTATAGAATTTCGTTACATGGTACAAGACATCTATCTACACAATAAATAAAAGCTGAATGGGAAAAGAGAATGCGCCATTTTAAATTTCCTGCTTGGAGAGTACTTTGCGGAAGGACAGTTTCGGAAGTGTATTTTCTGCTGGGCGGGGAAGCAAAATCCGGACACAAGCCCGGTGGGCCGAGATATTAGTTGTGTTGGCCCAGTAGCAGTTTCTTGATTCTTCTCCAAACAAAATAGGTGACTACAATCAGCTAGCCTTCTTCCGTCGAACCACAAAGCCTTCTTCTTGCCGGTGTGCATCTGGGTGTTTGTATCTCTGTGAGAAGGGAAAACGAATACACGAACACACGAAAGAGACTGAAAAGATACCGACGCAATAAGAAGCTTACATCAATTGGGGATCGGTAACCCAAAGTTTACAGGAGTTTGGGGGTCTCCCTAAAGCTGGAATTGCGAGAGGGGAATTTACATCCGCTATTTGGACGAATGGAGAGCTAGAAATCATGGGAAGAGGCGCCCACGAGTTTGAATTCAAAAGGATATTGGAAGATGGATTGCCGGTTGAAGTGTGAAGGGAATAAATAAAGCTTGAAGTCCTTCCGAATCAAAACCGAAAAGAGATCAACTCTCCTTGCTAATCAATCTATCTCCTCATTTCAATCTAGACAATTGTTGGGGGTGTTGCTAAGGGGCTCCCCGCAGAGACTAAGGAATACCGCGTTCAATCGACAACGTATGACGCTCTAAACCCGCTACGAGTATATAAAGGTATGAAACCCACCAAGGAGGGGGACCTCTTCCCTCTCTCCCCACTTTCCACTTTCCACTATCTCTCTACACTTTATCTCTCTACCTTATTCTCTCAACTTTCTCCAGAAACTTATACTAACTTGATCGTCGGAGCTTAATCCGGGGGGCATCCCCGACTCTTTCACAGGTTCTCTCCCTCCCGACGAGATCGGACGAACGGATCGTGAGTCAACCCCACACCAACAAATCATTA